TATTTCTGCCTTTTTTTTTGCGGTCTTGCCCAGCTATAGGCACAAACAGACGCGCTGTCCCGCTCTCGGTTTCGGTATGCGACTTCAGTCTTCGTCTCGCTGCTGGCCAGGGTTTTATTTGCTTTATACGATTTTATTGCTGTTTCAGTTTTTTTTCTTGCCAAAATATGCGAAATGTGTGTCACAGACACAATAAAAGAAACCTACAAATTAACAACAGCCAGAAAAGAGGTCGCCTTTTAAAAAGAAAACAAATAACAAATAATGAAACGAAATCAAAATCGGCGATGCGAAATTTTTGGAAATTACGCATAGGCCCATGATTTCAAATACCGCACACGCAACTAGAAAAAACAACAACAGCAACAACAACAACTACAACTACAGTGCCTTCGACAAGCACTCGTCTGTGTATATTGAGAAACCAAAGAAAACAAACCAAAGCGAACTACGTCATTGTCGCTTTTATATATAAAAAGTTTGAAAAGATATATAAATAGGTCCGCTGTAGGCCTTCACCAGAGTAATTGGATCTCGGGCATTTACTAATTTTGAAAAAGTTGCTTGCATATATTCAAATATTGCGCATACGCAACGGGGTTAACTCTTTGCTTTGGGCCACACTTCCGCTGTTGCCGTCACATTGATTGTGCCACAATGATTCTATATTTCTTATCGGGCCAACTGATAAGCGCTGCTTCACAAAAAAGGCCTCAATGAAGTCTGCGCAGCCATTGAGGCGCAAAACACTCAGCGCCTTATCAAGCCTCTGCGGCCTCTAATCAAGCACTGACTTTGGCTTTTCCAAGGCGATAAGATCGTGTCAAGTGATAATGCTGGCAAAATGCGCCAGTCAAGTTGGCAGCGCTCACTAGGAGCAATGAACTCGCGTACTTAGCTTAAAACATGTACGAATATTAGTAAATGAGCTCTAAGACTTGGAGAATTGTTTGGCAATGGGTTGAAGCTCGCTTTTACTTTTGCTTTGTTTGTTGCGCTGCTTTGGGTGAAAGTTGTTCAAATAGTACGAGCGAAGGCTGCCGCGCTATTGTCTAATGCTTGGTCCTGGCCCCAACAATTACCCGATCCAATTTCTCGAGCACGTGTCTAATTCAATAAACTCATTTCGAAGTGGACTTTAATTGCGTTGCAGTTTCTTGGCGCAACCACAAATCAAAGCAAAACGAATGCAGCTCAATCCAGCAAAAACAGCCGGAGCAACTGAAACGGACAGCGGCAACAAGAGGCTATAAATTGCAGTTGCAACTAATTTTTATGCGGCATGCAAACGAATAGTCAGCTCAGACCTAACATCGCATGCCCCCAGCCCGCCTTGACTGGGCATATCATATCGCATCTCTGGAGCGCGCATATTTCCGACAGTTGCCGCTGCTGCACATTGCAATGTAATTTTGCTTTCAACACCTTTTTTTTGCTGCTTGCTGCTTGCTGCATGCTGCATGCAACGTCGCTGCCAGCGTCGCCCGCTGATTGCAACCAGCGGCGTGGGCAAATAATTGCCAACAAAACAGCGAACAGCAAACAGCGGGCCAAAGTTGCCAGAGCTGAGGCTCATCGCCTTGGCCAGCAGCAACAGCAACAGCAACAGCAACAGCAACAGCAACAGCAACAGCAACAGCAACAGCTACAGCTGCAACGGCAACACATTACGAATACAACCAAGTGAAAATCACAGCACATTTCCCAGGCTGCGCTCAAGCGCTGGCCCCGAAATCGGCGCGAATATATCGCATTTCAATCACGCGCCAATCCCCGAGCTCCTGGACCGATCTTTGCCAGGCGCAATTTACGTGAGGCCACGCAGTCAGACAGAGACAGACACAGAGAGGGAAAGAGAGCGAGTGCAATTTTGCAACAGCATCAACTGCTGCTTGCAGTTTATTAAAGTTGCTGCGCAATCGAGCAGAAAGCAATGGACTGTTTATTGTTGTTGCTGTTGCTCTTACTGTTGCTGTTGCTGTTGCTGTTGGTGTTTTGCTGCTGAACCTAACGGTACCGATTGTGCGCACAAAATGGCCACATCGTGATGGCCAAAATGCCCATGACTGCCCGCGCCGCGCAGCACGCGTCTCTCGAGGCAGCCAGGCCGGCCGGCGACAACAACAGCAGCAGCAGCAGCAGCGGCAGCGGCGGCAGCAACACTGACCGCCAGCGTGCTGCATCTAATGCCGAGATTTCAAAAGTCGATTTATGCGCAAATTTACTTTTATGCGATTAGCAACGAGCGGCAAAAATTTATCGTCAAGTTTAGTCAATTTAATTGGGGCGCAGATGAGGCGGCCCAAAAAGTGGCCACTGAGGCGGAAAGGTGCCAAATGGATAAAAGCCAAACTCCAGCTAAGCCAGCACTCGAGCCAGCTCAAGCGCTCTACACGAAACACCAGCGGACAAAGCGCGTGCATTAGACAAAGGCTAAAAACCAAACCTGGTAGCTGGGCAATAAAATTTTATGGCAGCTGTTCTCAGAAGGAGCTGCATTCACCTCACTGCAGCGGCAGCAGCTCAGTTGTCGCTGCCTGCGGCCTCTGCATTTGCACAATGGACTAAAATGTATTTTGCAAAAGGGTTTGCAGACAGCGGCGGCAGCAGCAGCAGCAGCAGCCGCATCTAGAATGCAATTTCACGTTTCGGCTTATATGTAGCTGAAGTGCTGATGCCAGCGATAAGAAATGTTAACAAAAAAGTAAAAGAAGAGGAAGAGAAACTCCTGAAACGTTCTATAAACTGCATGATGTCAGCTTGCATGGACATACGTAGCGAGTCTTGGCATCGATTGAGCAAAAGACCATTGTAGAGACTAGAAAAGGCTTTTCGACTGCAGCTGCAAACGAAACTCAATCAGAGTTGGCTTAAAGCCTCGCTTTTTGGCACTCAACGATATATGAAATTCTGTTCACTCAGCACTTCTAATTGAAAGTGAATAAATTAAAAGGCACTTTGAGCCAAAAAGCCTAATGCATTTGCTGCTGCTCCATTAGAACTGATTTAAAATTGATTACAATTTTTCAAGTTTGTCAGTTATGAAAACTTTTGCTCGAACTGAAATGCATTTGCCACTTTAATTTTCATCTTTATATTTTATTGCTCAAGGACTAGCCGTTTCTATAGCAGCAAAGTCAATAGAACTAAGCCGCTTAGGTCTAATCATCAATAATTGCCCAGTGGGCGAGCCCATCAACAATTCAATCGATTCAACAATTCTGAAAATGCAATGCAGGATTCGTTCTGTCAGTTGAGTATTAATGCTGGCAAATAGCTACGTGGCGGCTTGATACGGCAACGGAAACGGCATCAACATCAGCATCAGCTTCTGCTCGTGGCAATGACAATGACGACGTCTCAATTGCTGGCATTTATTTATAAGAAGCTGCCATGGCAGCAGCAGCAGCAACATTAGAATCAGCTTTTCTTCCAGTCGACTTCATTACGCGTATTTCAAATCAGTTGCTGGCATTTGAAATGTTTTGAATTTATGACACGCCGCGCGACTGTCGCGTCTTTATTATCCAGTATCCTCTTAGCTTGCCCGCTGCCTGCATCTCATTTGGCTTGCATTCGTTGACGCAAGTTGCGTTCATAAAGTCAGCGCCAAAGGATAACTGATTCGCTTCGCTTTGTTGTTCAGAGTCCAAGGTTAGCCCAAGGTGAACTTAAAGCCACCAAAAACTCTCAGTTGACGTCAGCGCCGCTTCAAAAAGCAAACAAAGTTCTCTGGCAAATACACCAAAAAACTGCCAAAAAACCAAAATTGATTTGCGCAAGGTCAGTTAAATTTGCACAGCAGCAAAAATGTTGCGATAAAATATTTCTGAATATTGTACTGCTAGCCGTCAATTAATGATGAATGAGCAACAACAACAACAACGACAACAACAACAATAGCAATAGCATAAATAACAACAATGCTGCAGGGGCATTCAAAATCGTTGGCCACAAATTAGCTAAATGGAAAAATAGTTTTGCGCCGCATTGAAATGCCTCACGGGGTGATTATCGTAAAAAAAACCTCGTCACATTGTTGTTGCAAATTACATTGACAACAACAGCAACATCGAGGGCAACAACAGCAACATGAATGTGCGGCAACTGCTTTTGATGTGCTTAGAGTTTAGGCTTATGCGAGGGCGTCTAATTAAAGCCGAGCCGAGGCGAGCCTCGCAGCTCGGCACAACTGGGCCAATGCTGACCTTCTAAATTCTTTGCATTGCCAACACATAAACGAGGCTTTTTTATCTCTCAAACAATCAGCAGTCAAATTACTGCGAAATTGGTTTAATCAATTGAAATTAGTTAATTCTTGTATCACGGCACAAATTTCAAATATTTCTAATTATTGTAAACGCTCAATGATTCTGCCCAATGGAGTGGGTCTCGACTGCCATTAGCTTGGCTAGATTGTTGTCAAATTTTCTCAATTACTTTAGCTGATATAAAGTGTTATAGTAGGCATGAAGAGCTTTTCTAGCTAATATTAATTGAAGCTTTAAGCAACTTCAAAAGCTTTTCGACCCATACAATGAAAGCTGCTCAGATTAAATTTAGTTTAACTGCGAATCTAATTAGTTTTAAAGACTTTTGACAGTTAAAAACTTTTATTCATTTTAAATAAATATAATCTACAATTTTTTTAAAATCTTTTATATCTTTTGGGCTGATTAAAAGAGCTTTCAAAATGTGCTTAATACAATAATTCACTTAATATTCATTGAAATATGTTTAGATCTGTCAGTTATTTTACCTAAAGCTCTAAGAAACTTCAAAAGCTCAGCGATGTGAAAGTGAGCTTTTCATTAAATTTACATTAAAGCTCGATTATAACTCTTTTAATAGAATCTCAAATTTACTTTGAAAGTCGTTTCAGGTATGACGTAATCTTTGCCTTTAATTTATACCCAAAATCATAAATTAATAATATCTAAATTAGTAATCAATGCATTTGAAGCTTTCTAAACACATCCTCCTCTTCTTGGTCCTTGCAGCTCACGGAAGCGTCCGCCAAGCGACACTTACGATTGCAACAGCGATCAATGCAAAGGTGACGAGATGAACGAATGCAATGCAGCATTGATTTTAATGAATCTACACAACTCGCCGAATACAGGTAGGTGTCGGAGGTCGGAGATCAGAGGTGTTCGTGTTCGGCACTCGTCAGATTTCAATTTTGTTCTCAGTTCCAGATAAATGGCTGGGCTCCAGTCCGGGCAGCAGCTCGTCGGCCTCCTGGAGCTCCGGCTCGGCCTCGCCGCCGCTGAGCGATGATGGAAATGTGCTGCACGGCCACATCATATTGTCGCCGCATGACGCGGCCAATGCATCGGCCAATGCACGTATACGCACAACCTCGGTATCCACCTCGGACGAGGGCATTGTCATCGACTTCAAGGAGGAGCGCAAGAAGAAGGTAAGTCACACAGCCACACAGTCACACAGTCGCTGATTAGATCAAAGGAATGCGGCCAGACTTTCGGCCAAACAGAGCGCAACGGCACAAAATTTGTTGCAATTTAATTGCAACTTTGTGTACCGATTTTAATTGCTATAATTATATTTATGTAAATGTCTGAACATCATTTTTTCTCGTCATTTTGGCAAGCAACAGCCAAAGCGACAGCGCATACGAAACACGCGGCGTATGCTTAATTCGCATCTCGATTCATTACACGAGACGGGCAACTGTGAAAAGTCAGGAAATTAAATAAATACCGAAAACGAGCCCATAATAAGAGCACATCAATCAAAGGGCAGCGTCAGCAGCTCGTTAACTGCACAGCCATGAGGCATACACACACGCACACCCACACGCAGAGCCACATACACGCACGCCCACACGCACACCCACTATGATGACAAAAATCAATGAGCAAAAGTTCTCTCCATCTCCTCCCTATCTCCCTCTCTCTCTCTCTCTCTGTCTCTCTCGCTTGTTCTCTATCTCGTTCTCTGTTGTAACTAAAATATTGTTAGAAACTTTATGAATTATGCTTTAAGACTCGAAAATATGCCACACAAAGAACATTTAAGAAGCTTACGTAACTTTGAGCTGCTACCAACAGCTTCTTCACTTCAGTTTCGAGTTTCGAAAATACTCGCTCTGCAATACGTATGCCCTAACTAGTCAGTTAAATATATGTCTATATATACATTTCATTTTTTGTATGCTTTGTCAGCTCGTCTTTCGGCCCGTGTGTGTTGCTTTTGAGGGCTCTCAGCGCCGGCAACGTGAGCGCTTGGGATACATATCAAAAGTGAGCATTGTTAGCCTTGAATATGTGATTAGATTTTATTTACATTAGGGCGAACGCCTGCGCTGCAGGGCTGCTCGCTGGGAGACTGTTAAGGCGAGGCGAAAAGGCGGCGGCCAAAGGTTTCCATTAATGATTCGCTGGTGTTAATAGATTTGTAATAATTATTTGCTGAGCAAAACTTAATAGGCGCAGCCAAATTGTAGACAATTTCACTTATTTCCTGCCACTTCTTTCAGCTGGTGGAATTGTTATTAAACTAATCTTTTACTGGCACAGCTTGGCTTTGGTCTCCTTTCCCTTTGGCTAGACTTTCACTTTGCGCCATGTCCGGCTGATTACCTGTTGCACGAGCGCAGGCCACAGCCGAAATTGTCATGTTTCCGGCTGTCAGTCGAGCGGTCGAGCGCATTCGTTGCTTATGTATGCCAGGCCGGCAGCTGTGCCACGCCCACCGGCGCAACAAAATTGATTTGCGCCCAATTGCCTGGCGGCCTATTTGAAAGACATTTGCAAGATTTCCGCATAATCTCGAGCAAACAAACAACAGACAAGCTGCCACAGAGCTATCCGTGTGAATAGATAAGTGGTTAGATGGATAGCTTTGGCTGTGGTTGTGGCTGCGGCTGCGGCTGTGGCTGTGGCTACGCGAAATGATCTCAGCGCTGGCATTGAGTGTCAGTTTTTTTGTGTAAACTGCAATGAATGCAATTAATGGGTAATTGTGCGCAATTATTGCCGCTGTCGGGCAAGGGAAGCGCAGCAGCGCTCGACAGCCACGGCCACGTGGCGTATACGTAGCGTGCATTACTCATACGCACCGTGTGCGAGCGAATATATGTGTGTGCGCAGCACTTTGTCTGCCTGCAGTTGAGCAGCCACAAAGTGTTTGGCACAACATGGCGCATGATTAACCTTCATTACTCAACCGAGCGGCGAACGTTTGTAAATTACTCATACGCCATGATGGCTTTTGTTTTGTGTGCATTTGTGGTACAAAAAAATGATTTTAAATGCAGATTTATGTGCATTTAACAGCAGTAACAGCAGTGACAACTGTAGCCACAGCCGTAGCCGCAGCCGCAGTCACACTCACGGACTTTTGCCTTTTAATCAAGGCTGCGATTACAAGGCAGCTGCCAAGCAAGGCGAACGCAGTCGTAAATTGCCCTGCACACGGCCAAGCGCTGCTGGGATGGTGTGGCCGAGTCTAAGTAAAGCAGTCAAGTGCAAACTTTTTCACTTTGACATGCTCAAAGCGGCATATCAATTAGTCCAGCTCGCAAAGTGCTTAGACTTTTCGCCAAAAATTGACAAATTTCCGAAAAATTTCTAAAGCAACGCAAACTTTGTTGCAAATTTCCTGCCGGCAATGCATTAAAATTGGCCGCTGCCTTTCAGTGTGTGCGGCATAGACCCGGCTAATTGCATGTTCTATGTATAAGCTATGCGAAATTTGTTTTACGTTTTTGCGGCTCTTTTATTTTTGCTGTCGTTGTCGTTGTCGTTGTTGTTGTTGATTTTGTTTTCTAACTAATTTGTTTTATAACATCAACAGCAGTGGCAGCGGCAGCGGCAGCGGTAGCGGCAGCTAATGCTAACAAAAGCAAGCGCAAATTATAGTGCAAAACAAGGCAGACAGCGCGGCGTGTGCAATACGCGGCGGTTGCGCGAGGGGCATGGGGCAGGGGAAGGGGCAGGGGACGGCAGACGAGGGGACAAACCTGGGGCTTAGCCTAATGGCAGACGAATGGAAAGGCAGGGCAAAGCTATTGCAGTTTAGCTTTTGCAATGCTGACAGTTTCAAAGCAACAGCAAACAGCGCTGCCAGCGGCTGTGAAATGGCAAAATGCACTCGACGCTGCCAGCCAACATGGCGCGGCACACGTGTCGCATTAGCAATATCTATGTGTGCGTGAGTGTGCGCTGGCAGCTTAGCTGCATTTGCCTTTTTCGACACAGCGCACCATTTGTGCATTACTTTTGACAGACTGAAGTGTGCTCGACTAGAGATTGATTTTACAAGCTCTCGATTGCGAGCTATTATGAATTGTCTAATTGAGCAGATCCGATACATTAGATCAAATAATGATTGATCCAATTGCTACAGGGTATTCGGCGGCCTGGCACACTGTTCGCACTGTTTGTCTATTCACAAATTTTGTTCGTTTTTATTTTTATTGCATTTGTAAATAAGCTTAAATTTATATTTATGATTTTCGCTGTGCACAGGCATCGTCACATGCCTCCCTCTCGCTCACACACTCAGTAGGTGGCAGTATACGTATCTCTTACTGCTTAATGGACTTTGCAGCATATACCTCAATTTTTGGCTTTACTATGTGCATTTATTTTTAACCGGAACGAACAAAAATATAGCAAAAACTTAATTAAAAATTGTACAATTCAAGTGGCAGCGTGTGTGTGCAGCAACCTTGAAACAACATTCACTTGGCAAACACACACACACCACACACACACACACACGCGCGCATGCACGCAGAGAGACAGAGAAACAGAGATTGGCAAACAGCTTCGGCAATGCCTTTGGCACTTGATTCATAAGCCAACGTCGTATTAATTTCACTCATATGGCAAAATAACCTTGAATTCTGATTAGGAAGCAATTTAAATTTATCTATCCGTCATTTAGCTGTTGCTGCCGTTGACTTTATTGAGTTATTGGGTGCTGGCTTTATTAAAAACTTAATTGTGCTGCTAAAAAGCTCAATTTATTCGAGCTGCTAAGCAGGCACAGCTTCAGCTTCTCCTGCGCAGCTGCCAGCTCTGGCAACGTTTATCATTTGTAAGTCATTAGCGCAGCAAATGCTTTGGCCACAAGCCGCCGCCGTCGTCGTCACTTGATTGGGCAACACGGGGCGTATGAGTAATGACTGCGCTTTGTGCCTGACTGGCTGCCCACGCTGGGCGTTGCGAAACAATTGCTAAATGGACAATTCCACAGAACTTATCAAGAGATATATGAAATATTTAACATGTGCCCCGCGCCCCGGGGAGCTGCCACAGGCGTCGCTTTACTGGTTAACCTAAAGTAGACGACGCCAAGTCACATATTTGCCACGAAGTTTACAGTTTGTGTGTTTTCAAAATTGAGCGTAAAGCTGTCAAATGCTTGAAAACAGAGACCGAGCAGTGCAAAAACTCAAGTAGCAGCGGAAACGCAGAGCCAAGGAAAAACTTGCTGCTTGCAGCAGTGCGCAACAATTCGTCTGCGTCACTGGCAGGAGTGGCAGCAGCAGCAACAATAAGAAAACAAAAGTCAGTGAAGCGCAGTATTTGTATGTGTGTGTGTGGGTGTTTTGGGAGAAACGAACTCATAAATTTATCATAATTGCAAAAGGCAGAAAAATGTGACTGAAATGTGCAACAACAACAACAAAAACAACATTAGCTGCAAACGCAATGCATATGAAAAAGTCGTAAAGCAAAAATGCAATAAAAATAATTTGCCATAACGAGCAGCAATAGCAGATATATATATATATGTATATATATATATTTATATGCATTTATATATATATATATTTATATATATATATATATATTTAGAGATAGCTGTGTACAGTATGTATAAATATTTGCTTTAGGCAGCATTACGCTGTTTTCCCATCGCAACAGTAAACATAGCTGCGCATAATTTATAAATTACAATTTCCATTTGTGGCAACATTCAAAGCAGCAGCAGCAGCAGCAACAACCACAGCTGAATCATTCATTCAGTATTTAGTTTTTCTCGCTATATTGGAAAATGATTTGGTAGAAAAACAAAAAGAAATAGAAGGAAAATCTGTGCCAAGTGCAAACGCGAGCAGCGCACTTTTTCATGTTCAAGGTGACAAAAATGCTGTGTGGCGACGCGACGCTACGCGAGGCGACGCGAGCGAACCGGACCGGCGGACACTTGAGCCAAATGCCGCATCATTTGGCCTCGTTTTTCGTTCAATTTTGCCGTAATGTTTTAGCTGTTTTTCTCTCGCTTCTTTGTCTTTTTTCTATTTTGTTGCCATTTCTGGTTCAATGCGGTTTGTTCGGCTTCTGTCTAAGATATTTAATGCATTGAATTGGTTTTCTAATGGGATCAGAATGATAAAGCCAGACATTAATACTCACTGATTTATCGATATACATTTTTATCGAT